TTATGGGGACCAGGAAAGTACAAAAGGATGAGAAAACCTTGACTATGCAGACAGCATCACACTCGGGTCTGCCTTTTCCAAAATCCATGTTCTACCACCTCCCTAACTCACTGACCAAGTACTGCCACAGTTGCAAAAGGGCCTCTGCTAAAGCCTGTGACAGCTAAAATTTTATTCAGCAAAGGATCAGCAGTATTCTCCAAAGCAAGTCTCATGTCTTTTCTCCTTTTTGCCCTCATGTTTAGTGTTTTGAGAACACTGAAGGATCTGACCCTACTCTGCCAACTAACTAGTCAAGGAGAACAGCTAAAGAAAAGGGAAACAAAGAAACCACTTTGTATTGAAGCGACTGATGGTTGTCACAAGCACCCTGAAGTAAATTTTAAATGTGAGCCCTTGGTGATCTATAGAAGATGATCACGAAGTTCCAACAAAGTTCCTCAGTCATGATTTAAATCTCAACCTTTGTTAACTATGTGACAAACCAGAGGCATCCGGCCCCCTTGAGTGTGTTATTTCATTAATAAAAATGAGTGTTGCACACAGAATCTATAAGGTGGATGAATGGTGCTCAGACTTCTCTGGACCAGGAAGCTTTCTGAGCATCTGATGAATTATAAGCCCTCTGCAGAGTCATGCAAAGGGGCACAGACCCACAACACTCCACATACAACTGCAGAGCCCAGGCATGAATGCTGTCCAGGTCCACACACCATCTGCTCTGGAGTCTCCCTCCTTTTCCCAACAATGATCATATGGGCTTGGTATTCCAGGGTTTAACAGTCAAGAAATATTTAATTTTGACATTAAAAGGAATCATTGCAAAATAGCAGCAAGTACACACAGTGCCTCAAAGAGTGCTTGGAACACAGTATTCAACGAATTCTTTGTTAAATGAGCCCAAGTAGTAAAACACATGTTCTACGATATTTTTTAAAAGCCATCCAACTCTGCCAATTCTCTAATTCCTAGTCTTTGAAGCAGATGTATTTAAATTATATTCCCTTCAGCCAAATTTTAATGTATATTATCTTTAGATTGATTGAACATCTAGTTTTTATTACTACTGTATGCTCCTGAATAAATAATGACTTTCCTATGGTTATTTCATATTTATTTGCTCAACAGCTATACTTTCAAAAGTAGGCATTTAAAAAAAATCTAACTATATCAAATACATGAAATTTGTCCGCTTTGTATTAAGAATTAGAAACCAGTCAAATTGTAATCTAAGACAATAAGCATCTCTCCTCCCCCCAGTCAGGGGCAGGCTTTTGGCACAACAGTGAAGACAAGGCTTAGAATAGCCACATCTCATATCTGAGTGACTGGGACTCCAGCTGTGCTTCCAATCCTAGCTTCCTGCTATGTGCATCATTGGAAGCAGTGAGCTTTGGCTCAAATAATTGGGTCCACACCACCCACTTGGGAGACCCACATTGAGTTCCCAGCTCCTGCTGTCATGGGAGTGAATTAGAGAGTGGAAGATCATTCTCTGTCTTTCAAATACATTAAAAAAAATACATACATTCCAAAAAATTTTTAAAAGTAATTAAAAAACAAACCTAGTTTGTTACTAGTTTTATCATTCATCCCTTTCAGAAATAACAAATTTTGCAGTTGTTAGTATTTTCATTTCTAGGTTTTTCAAGAAGATTACTTTATTTAGAGCCATATTTTCCTACCATAAAAATCTTAAACCAGCACACTGAATAGTGTTGCTACTACGAATAAAGATGAACTACCTATCTACTAGTTCTAGGTTTACAGATTAAAAACCCATATGCACCCTACATTCCCTCTCATCTACGTAAGTCTGATTTTGGTTTCCAACATAAATGTATTTAATATATAGAGAAAAGCAGGAAAAAAATAACCCTAGTATCTTGGTCTTGTTGGTGGCCAAGGTTGTGAATTTGGTCCAAGGATGCCTTCAGAGTCCCAGAGACACTTAGCCATCTCTGAGCGCAGATTTTCTTCCTCAGTTTCAACCCAAACAACACATAACAACAGACTGAACACAGATGCTGGTTTGAATCCAACCATCCTCTTTTAAGCCAGGCATTAAAGATATGCAAATATGCAAGGCAATGCTGCTCTTCCCATTAAAATCATGCTACTTTTCATTAATAATGTTATTTATATAAACAAATGAAGTACCTCTTTTTTTATTTGACTTTAAAATGTGTCTTAGCCAGTAATTATTAAAACAAACAAGTTCTTTGGGATCCTCAGTGATTTTAAATCAAAGGTAGAAACGGTTCCAAGGCCACAATATCTAAAAACCACTGGCCTGCAGCAACTGCCCGTGAGCTTTCATAGGTGAGAAAAAACAATGCAAAGCAATCAACGGACTCCTTCTGCCAAGTACAACTGGCCTTCACAATCTAAACCATCTTATTAGATAGATGAGTACTATAATAGTGTAGGCCCTAATAGTACATATCATCTCATTACCCACTGCTTCCTTCATATTCAGTTTCACACTTAGTCTGAAGAGCTACTTAATTTTATATAACTACAGCAAAATCCCACTTATGCGGACAGTGCACAATTTAATTCCTCTCTACAGACTTAGTTATAAATGTTTAGGCTCCAATTAGTGTAGTTTTCCCATTTTATATTATCATTACCCTAGAGTTTTCTGCAGTAATTAGGCAGGAAACACAGTACACATACTTAAAACCCACTGAAAAGATCATTAGAATTTGTCAAAAATTTGATAGGAAAAAAGGATGCACAGCAGTCATATGCATAAGTCAGCATTTATTTTATATTTCTAAAGATTGGTTTATGTAATGCATCCACATTTGGAATGGAAAGTTCATCGGCTGTGAACTCTAACATGAGGATTTAAAAATAATCCTCAGCTGCCTGAAACCCAAGAACTATCAGGGCCAGCATTGTGGTGCAGTGGGTTAAACTGCCTCATGCAACACTAGCATCCCATATGAGCACCGGTTCGAGTCCCAGCTGTTCCACTTCCAATCAGGCTCTCTGCTAAGTGATCAAGCTATGTGCCTGGGAAAGCAGCAGCAGATGACCCAAGTGCCTGGGCCCCTGCCACTCATGTAGGAGACCTAGATGGAATTCCAGGCTCCTGACTTCTGTCTGGCCCAGCAGAGGCCATCACAGCCATTTGGAGAGTGAACCAGCGGATGGAAGAACTTTCTCCTTTGTGTCTCTCCCTGTCTCTCTGTAACTTTGCCTTCCAAATAAATAGGTAAAATCTAAAAAAAAAAAAAAAAAAAAAAAAAAAAATCAAGAACTATCTTGTATTTTAAGGGTAAAACTAACCTCTCTCCTTCCACCCCATCTTTACACACCAGTGAATTAAGTGCCTGCTTACATTGTATGGTCAAATGAGAAATTAGACACACTCAGAAATTAAGACCCACCCACGCAAGCCTCTCCTCACTCATGCCACCATGGTTTCAGGGCAGCTCACATCATGGGAACCACTTCTACACGGACACCAGTTGTTGGAACTCTTCTAAGCATCCTAGTCTTTTAGTGTGCTTGTGGTCTTGCCTCTCCAAAGAAGCGCATGTGGTGTGTGTGCCTCCAGACCTCTACCCTCAGACACATGTCCCACCTGGCCTTCAGATAGTGAGCACTCAAAGAGTCTACTGTCATTTAAGGTGAAACAGTGGTACTGAGAGAAAAGAAAGTTGAATGAGAATGTCCCAAAGCCAGAGTGAGTCAGTCCAATAGAAACACACCCACCAGCCTAAAGAACATGGGCTTTCCCCTATTCTTTTCTGACATCTGCCTTCTGGTCCAGGGTTAGGTTTTTTAATTCAACACTCTACTGAATGAAGATGGCAGAAAAGCTGGTATCTTTAAGGACCTATATAAATCAAAACCAGTTTACTTACATTTGTATTTAGTATGTATGTAGGTATTTTATTTCCTAGCTATGATTTTACCCCCCATCTGTCCCCCCAACATTTTCCAGAGAAAACATACAGTACAAGAATTTAAAAGCCAGTCACCCCCTCATTTAACCATTACCCACTCCTCCAAACACATCCCAATATATGAAGTATACCAAGATCTGCCTCAAATATAATTTAAAAATAACAACTCTTCTACACTGAAGAGGGTAAAAAAAAAATAAAATTGAAAGGATGTCTGTACCTCCCTCCCTAACAAAAAAATTAGGATGATTTAAAAGTTCAGCATCTCATTTTTTGCTGTATTAAAGATGCTCAAAATGTTATTGCTTAGATAGAAGGAAAACACAAAAGCCAAAGGTTATTCTGGTTGAAAAGGGGTCAAATGTTCAGCTATTTGTGCCACAATTGGGAGATGCATTTTAGACACAGGTCTCCCCACAGCTACCTGGCAGAAACACGTACCAATCAAATGTGCAACACCAAAAATAGGATGAAAAGATGAGCTCTCTAAGCACACAGCCTGTCCACTGCATTTCCATTTTTAAGGGCTTACTCATATGCACGGTTCTTGGGCTGAAAATAAATTTAAGTTCAAGTTCACACTCCAATGACAATTATGCAGAGAAAACTAGATATGGAAACCTAGCAACTAGGTTGCACGCACAGAGGAGAATGAATGGTTTAGGTAGAAATAACACATGACTAGCCAACTTCACAGACTGTGGCCTCTTGCCTTTAAAACTGATCTAAGATAAAAATGCATACTCTTTTATACTACAATGAGGACTCAGAATGCAAAACAAACCAAATGTAAAATGGGTCTGGGGTACACACACATCAAAGTGTGTTTCCGCGTAAGTCATCAGAGCAAACAGTTTCAGCTCCAAGTCATGCTCCTTTCATTCAACAGTTTTGTTGGGGGAAAAAAAAAAAGACAAGAGGGGAGAAACTGGTCATATACAAAAAATGTTTTAAAAAGAAAAAGTGAGAAGAAGCCAGGTCACTGAGAGAGACAGGCAGAGTATGCGTGTCCATCTGTGCTCAGGGAAGCATCGCTGGAAGGGGACTGCGTGTGTATGTGGCAGGTGTTTCAGTACTTACTGTGCCCGGCTCTCTCTCTGCTCCCGAGGTTACCAAGAAACGCACAGACATGCCCGTTCAGACACAGAGGCAAGAACAGAAATAAAAAAAAGGGGGGAATAATTAGAACACAAGCCCCAAACAGTTTTAAAAATGGCTTTTATTTATATAAGTCATTGCACATTCCTAATACAGTGATTTCCTGAAAATTACAGTATTTTGTAAACATAAGATTTACAGTTTAACCATACACAAAGCCTATTTTTTTATTTCTTGACAGAATAAATTACTTTTCTTCAAAAAATTAGTCAAGTGCAATTTTGCCCAATATTTAATGCATACTAGAATTAAAGCCTATGAAACTAAGTAGTAACAGATGCAATTATCAAACCTTTCATTTGAACACATTCACTTTCAAATTTAACTTCTTATTGCGCCCCATTGAACAACATTACTTTCTTTGAAAATTACCCAATTAAGCAGTTAACAGTTTTCCATAATATGGTACAGGCCACTGGCATTAACTAGGCAGCTGCCAAGATGTCAAGATGCCTGCATCTAACGAGACTGGGAAATCTACAGATGCCCACGGCAAACCCCGCAAACTTCCAGGGTGGGCCGTGTCTCCGTGGGAAGCTTTGTGACAGTTCCTCTTATCTCATTGCTCTCAGTATAGGATGGGGCTTGCTTTAGCGATGCACTCAACTTTGCAGCACGGTATGAGTATGAGGACAAGGTCCTAATCTGGCTTGCCCGGCCTCTCACCTCTGTGGTGCTCTGCCTCGTGGTGCTTCTTGTCATCTTTTATTGCCAAGTGAGACTGCCCACTCAGAGCACTCGACAGCGCGAGGAGGCCGGCGCTGCCCCCGAGGGGCGGGATTCCAGGAGGCTGCAGTCCCGAAGGGTGAGGCGTTAGGGGCACTGGGGGTCCGTGGCCATGAGAAAGATGCTGAGCTTGCAACTGCTGCTGCTGTTGGTGGCAGGAATAGGGAGGTGGGGAAAGGAAAGGGTGGTGGGAACAGCATTGGGGAAAAGGAGATGTAAGGATAGAGGGACGGCAGCATGAGGGTGGAGGCACGTGCACACACACACACACACACACACACACACGAAAGGAGTGGGGGCAGAGACGGAGGGAGGAAAGGGGAAAAATGTGATTAGTGCTTCCAGTTCACCAAAAGCTTTCACCTCCTCAGGTACCTCCCCCCACCCCCACTTTCCCATACTATAATCCTTGGCCCTGCACTGTCACTCACTGGCATAACAAACCCCCGAGAGCGGCGCTCTTTATCTTAAAGCAAAGTCAGCCTCTGTTAATCAGCCCACAGGACTGGGTTCGCAATACCTCCAGAGCTGAAGTCCAGGCAGCCACTGGATCTAAAGTATCACAGTTTTAAGACTCATCTGGACTTCACGGAGGTTACCAGGGGACAGGGAGGAGAAGACACACATCGACAACCTGGTAACTACACTCTCCCTGTCACCAGCTATCAGGTGATACAATGGTAGCCCTATACCTTTGCACTAACTGAACACAATAGTGGGATGAAGCAAAAGCAAAATATTATCACTAGCTCCCTGCTAGGCATTGCCCAGGGACCTGTGAGTCCTGATTCCATGAAACCTTCTCAGAACCATGAGCACATATTGATGTATTCTTATGTACTCCCACTTCCCATATTGAGAGAACCAAGGTTCAAAGGCACTGAGGAAATTGTTGGGGTTCTCCCACCAGGCCAGAGAAGACCACAGTAAAGGCAGGGAAGCCCCATCAGGGCAGCTGCTCTCTGTTTCCCGTACACCCCAGGAGGGATGTTCCCAGGGAGTAGAGCTTGGTAACCCTCAGAGCCACACATTGTTGGTCCTTCCTTGCTCTTGAGCCCATAGGGCAAACTCATCCCTTCTTTTACACGAATGAGAACAGTGAGGCCCAGAGTGGGTCAGAACCTCAGCACTCTGTCCCCAGATGCGTGGGACTTCAACCTACATGATCCCAAGTTCCTGTTCTAAATGCCTTTGCCATTACACCACGTTGCCTCTGTCACTTAACCCATTCCAGAAAGCATGAATGCGTTCACATGAAACAGAATCGTGGTTTTCAAATGCTACATTCCAAAGTAGTTGAATGCAATGATACATTATCCAAGAAATAGTGGCTACTCCACGAATCAGGCCCCATTTCAGGTTTCCAACATCAGACCCTCATGTTTGATGTGACAGTAAAAACAATTAAAGTTCCATTTCTAAGGTGTAATGTTAGAAAATTCTTAACATAATGATTTGTGCTCACATCTCTGGGACTCAATTACTCTTTTAATTATTGCACCCCAGGATGTACCAAATATATTAAATTTTCATGCCAGGTCTTCAGTAAATTTCCACCCAGATCACTGATTTTTAATTGAATCCCAGACATGCTTCCCACCCTCAAGAGTAAAAGGAAACATTTTATAATCAAGTTTCAACCACTTCTAGCATCTTGAAAAAAAAAATCTTTAGGACCAACTTTCTTTTTAAACTTCTATTCCTTCCAAACACAGTCTGGCTCTAATTAGAGGAAAATGGAAAAAGGGGTGAGTGAGGGTGGGGCTGGTGGCATTAATCGAATTCTTGGAAAGTATTTATAAACTACTCATTCACCACCTGAGACCGTTACAACAATTTCTTTATGCACAGAATCACCTTCCTGTCATCCCAAAGACACTAATTCTTGCTCTGTCACCTTTTAAGAGCTAGGCGACAGTGAGACATAAAACTGAAGAAGTTGGCAGCAGCATCACGGTCCACTAGGCCTGCTCATTAGCACTTAATTAGGAACTAGACACCTGCCATAAGAAATGTGCACAGAGAAGGATGAGGAGCAGGTCTGCCCCACCAGCAATTACTATCATTACTTGGAGAGTAAGAGCTACGTCCGGCTTCTGGGGGGAAACTCAATGATGCATACACAAGCAAGTGCAGCGGGGTAATTAAGCTCGGCACTGATTAAAAGAAGATGAGAGAGGCTAAGCAGAGGGGAAGGAATTTAACTACAGGGTGGGAGATACCACCTTGTAAATGCCTCCCTACATTCCCCACTCCTCCCAAAATCAAGAATGGAGCCACCAGAAAACCAACGGAGAGGTGGGATGTCATGTCAAAGCACACACATAATTGAGTAGTAGTTGGTACACAAGAAAGACATAGCAATTTCCCCTCCCCTGCCCAAAATGCACCGCAGCTTTACAAAGATGAACTGAAAAGCGCATCTGCTGTACTATTTAGGAGAGGGTCTGGCTTATATAATAATGGGCTTCACCACAGCTGTGATGCAGACCTAAGTGGTTAAACCCAACGGTGAGGCTAAGAACCATCAATGGGGGCAGTCAATGGCCTAACTGGCCACAGGGAACTCCCACTCCTACCCTGCTCTAGCTTTTCAAGCTCCAAGGAGAAGAAACAGCTTACAGTCCACTATTACAGGTAACTGGGTTCTTCTATCCTTGTCCATCTCGAAAACTTATTTAAAATTGGAAAAAAAAAAAAAAAAGCAAACCTTTGTGCAACTTTCTAGAAAGAGTTCTAGAAAGCAATCAGATGGATCACCAGTGTTAAAGATGCTGTGGCACCAGGAAATGTGGACATGGAGCCACCCTCAGAGTCTACTTCCTGGTCCTGCAGGGCAGTGCTCCTGGACACTATGATCACACACATTCAACTGGCTTTGCTGTTCACCTTCAGAACTCGTGGACTGCAGGAAGGGGAGGGATCATGGCTCCGTTTCACAGAGGAGACCGGCTCACAGTTGAAAGGTTTGGCACGGCGCTCAGAGCCAGGACTACACACCTTGTGCTTCCTACAACAGCCTTTTCTCCTGGAGCCCCAGTGTCCCAGTCATGCTCCCAAGCACGAGGAAAGAAGAGGGCGAAGTCCTCACTGAAAACTTCGCATTCATTGCCCTGCCGGGCTAATGAGATGCTACCATAGATAGGCTCACTTTTACCATCCTCCCTGACTGCAGCAACAGGAGTGTTTATGTCTCCTAAGTACCAACTCTCTCGTCTCCATTTCTCAGTGCCTGTCCTTACCTCAAAGAAATAACCGTCACATTTGCTCCCAGTTGTCTCCCAAGAAAGTTTATAAAAGACAATCAAGCCTCAACACAGATGGCTCTGGCTTTTTTCAGAAGTGGCTGTTTAGCATTATAAAATAACAAGTGTCATTTCTAAGATAAAATATTTATTTAAAAGAATGCAGTGTCCCCTATCTAAAAAACAGTTAACTCCACAGTTGCCCCACTTTTCCTTGGAACATTTTCTCTCAACAAGGTTTGCCACAGACAATATGGCACCCATCATCCTTACCAAATGGATACTCATGAATGAACTTAAGTAATATATATTTAGGGGTGGGAGCTGTGGTGCAGCAGGTTAAATTGCTGCCTGGGACTCCCACACCCAAAATCAAGAGTGTCAGTGGGAATCCTGGCTACTCTGCTTCCAATCTAGCTCCCTGCTAATCCACCTGGGAGGCCGCAGATGATGGCTCAAGTACTTGAGTCCCAGCTCTGCCTGGCCCAACCACTGCTGTTGGGGTCATTTGGGGAATGAACTAGCAGATGGAAGATCCCTCTCCCTCTCTCTCCGCCATTGTGTTTTTCAAATAAACAAATCTTTCAAACATATATATTTTAGGGGCAGGAGTTTGGAGTTTGACACAGAAGCTTAAATTGCTTCTTAGGATGCCTGCATCCCTTGGTTCAAGTAATGGCTACTATCCTTATAAACCAACTTCCCGCCAATGTGCATCTTAGGAGGCAGAAGATGATGCCCAAAGTACTTGGCTGCCACCATACACATGGGAGACCTGGATGGAGTTCCAAGTTCCTGGCTTCAGCCTGGCCCAGCCCTGGCTTCTGCATGAATTTGAAGAGTGAATCTGTGAGCTAAAGACTTCTTTCAAATAAAATGAAATTTGATTAAAAAAAAAAAAAAAAAGACAAAAACCACACCAGCATTTTTATACAGTCAAAAACCCCAACAGCTCTACCAATTGGAGGAATTTATACAACATCTGTCCTCTATGGGCCAGAACCTGCACCTAGCAGTTGGGAAACTGCAAGGTAACTTTCAACATGATAGCAAGGATGGGAAAATTAATTTACAATGATTATGAAACTTTTAAGTTAATACTTTCAGATGTATACGGCACAGAATGCACAAGTCGATCAGTTTGTAAAACTATTGGAAAAGATGTCTTTGGTGAGCAATGGTGGTTTTTAGTAACACAGATGGTTTTGCAGGCTATCAATCTACACTAGTGGTTCTCAAACACAGCATCTGACACCCACCTCCAGCTCCCTATCCCAGGGACAACCACCACTGTGCAGGGACACCTACATTTTTTACCCCCGGAGCAGAAAGGCAAGTGGAATGCTACTGGCATCTAGCTGGCTGAGAACAAGGATGCTGCTGAACACCCTAGAGACAGAGCGCAGGACAGTCAGCTCTCCACTATGGAGAACTGCTGAGCCCCAAATGTCCAACAGAGCTGTGATAAAGAAACTCCAGTCTAGAGCTAAGCTGCAATCTCATTCCAACCCTTACGATTCACATTCTCGTACAGCAAGTGTCTGGCCAGACTGTGGTTCACCATCCGAGTCTTCTGTCACAACGCAGATAATAAACATTTGCTTTCTGAAGCTGGCGGGGCAGGAGGAGGATGGGGTGGGGCAAGGGGAGACCTGTATTTTATAAACAACCTAAGAAAGAGCTTTATACCGGGAACTTTTACACATTGGTACTCAAAGTTTCAAAGGAAACTACAGAAAGGTTTTTACACTTGAGGATAAAGTGCTATGACTGAAACAATGAGAACAGCCGGAGAGTGCGACAAGCAAAACAAACACCAAACCCCGAGTTAATGATTCTGAAAACCCACAAGGAATAAAGTAACCTCATCCATGTCAAACAGCCATGCATTTAGAATTTT